ATCTTTTTACAAGATATTCCAGGAAACAGGAGCGGAGTAGGAGAAGGTCCTTTTGTCTAGTTCAGTCCTCACTGAGGGAACACTGCAGGTAATGATGTCCTGAGAGCGCACGCTGTAGCTGCACTCACACAGAGACATGTAGGAGGAGATGTATGAAGGCAGCAGACCAAGAAGTGATTTAAAGATGAAAATGTACCAGTGGGAGAGTCTGTGGGAAGTTAATGGTGACCAGTTAACCAGTGAATACTGGGTGCAGTGGTGGGTACGGTAGTTACAGCCAGTTATGAATCTTAGTGCACCATGATAGACAGCATCCAACATCTGCAGCATCCAACATCTGCAGCATCCAACATCTGCAGGGTTCTTGTAGGAGCGTTCATGTAAATAATGTCACCGTAATCAATGGAGGGAAGGAAAGTCACAGATACAAGGTGTTTCCTAACATTCAGAGTTAGACAGGATCTGTTTCTGAAAAAGAAACCCAGTTTAACTTTCAGTTTCTTTATCAAGTTTTCCACATGAAGCTTAAAAGAGAGATGTGAGTCGACCAAGATACACAAATATTTGTTTGAATCAACAAACTCAGTAGGATTCAAAGATAAAATAGGAGGAAGAACTGCTGGGACCGACTTCCTGTTTGAAAACGACATCCCTTTGGTTTTATTAGCGTTTAGCACCAGTTTGAGACGGAACAAATTTGTCTAGATGATGTCGAATGCAGATTGTAGGAGCTGGAAAACCTTAACAACTGATTTAGCTCGACAATAAACAAATGTATCATCGGCATAGAAATGTAAGGATGCATCAGGAGTGATCTGCCCTACATTATATAGATTGTAAAGAGAGTGGGTCCTAAGAATAAGCCTTGTGGTACACCATTGTTGACAGACAAATAACTGGAAGAAGTACTTATGTTGAACACGTTGCCTCCTGTCTGAGAGATAATTAGAATTAGACTGGAAGATACCCACCATTCATTTCTGCACCAGCTTGAAGAAAAGTTGTCAGTAATTTTTAAAAGATTCAAAATCACCAAATTTGCTTTTTTCCTACGGATTAAAGTTGAGTAAAATGTCATACGAGCAGGATTTTTTTGTGTTAATACAAGCAGTGCACCTCTTCCTGTAATAATAGCACAGTTACAGTGTGTTGATGGAAAACTCCACGCTCCTGTCCCCAAAGGAACCAACTTAACCCAGCCTGAGTAGCAATGAATACTAATGCGTGCTCAATTAGCACCCCTCTGAAAGTGAGATATTATTTTGAAGCTGGCAGACCGTGCTCGTGGACCAATTTTAATCCTCCTGTGGCTAATCCAGAGTGTGGTTTTTTTCCTGTTAGTTTGCTGTGAAGGAGAAGGAGAGAAAAGGGTGTTATGCCTTCCATCCATCTGCTCTGGAAACAAATGAATTTGTCTTTTTTTATTGCGTCTGCGCCTCAGATGGGACGATCCTTCATCGAGAGCCAGGAATCGACTTATGTGTCACTCCGTGATAGAGAAATTACACAGAGATGACAAAAAGCTTCAGCAACTTCAATTACCTGTTTAGTGCCGCCAGCCATCTCCAGGTCTTTAAAAGGATCAGGAGACGGGGATTTCTCGCCGCCACAATGAAGTGAGGCTTTAAACAGATAATTGGAGAAGGGTATTTACCCCTGCTGGGGTGCAGGTGAACCGTTTAACCATTTAGGAGCTCTTTTTACTCCTCTGCTTCTTGTACCACATGTGAGCATGTGTTTGAGTCATGAGCATACACGCTCTTTAAAGATCTCATGTTGGTGCTTGGGGCCACACAAAGGGACAAATGCGAAGACACATCTGGATGCCTCATTGATCTTTATTATTCTGTCAAAGTGTGTGGGGTGAGTCATTTGACAACACTGACGTCGAGAATCACTCGACTAGTTTGATACTTACACTTCAACATGTGACTGCTGGTGGAATCAAACCCCCAACTCTCTCATTGGAGGACGACTGTTCTAACCACTCTGCCACAGCTGCCCAAATCAAACAAACACTTACTAGTAATCATTGTTTGCAAACTAGGGACACTTTTATCCAACGACTTGGAGCAGAAGATGTAATATTCAGCCAAAATGATTTATTAGACCAAAAGTTTCACTTTGCCAGTTTTTTAATGCGCTAAAGGACTAGAAGACCACTGGACCACTGGACCAAACAAGAAAATGTGCTGTACTAGTTCATTCATTCAACCTTTATTTCTACAGGTTAATCCCATTGAGCCTCAAGGACTCATTTACAAGAGAGACCTGAATTAACAAAGAATGATGACAACAACAACAATAGACAGTTATAAAAAGGCATGCAGATTTTTATTTTTATTTTTTTACAAATTAAAATAAGATGGCAAAAACAGTAATATAAACAGCTGGATTCTAAGGTGAATGTAGAAAACTAAAAACAGGAACGTCTGCATTGGTCCCTGTCAGGAGTCCAACAGATTCTTAAAGCCACGTAGAGAGGTCAAAGGTCGAGAGCTTCAGATCTTTTTGTAGGATATTCCAGGAAACGGGAGCGGAGTAGAAGACCTTTTAGCCAACCCTATCTAATAAACTAGGCGGCACAAATCCCTCCTACTGGTAGTATGTGTTGTAATTATTCAAACTGCTTCAGATATCTTAATGTGTTACTGTGCTTGGAGTTATTTCAGTTTATTGTCCCACGACTTTAATTGATAAGGTAGAATGGGAAGCATTCTCCATCAGTCCATCCATGAATGTTGTTAGCATGATAGCTTGAAAAATAAGCATGGTACCGACTTCCATTATGGTGAGTGGCTCCATCTAGGCATAAGAAAGTTTATTTTGAAAATTGGATTGCCACATCCAATTCCACGATGTCCACCATCGTATATGTAAACCAGACACCCCTATCATTTGAGAAAACAATGCTTTCTAGTTTTTATATCACTTAAAAGTTGTCACAAAAGGCTGGTGCTGGTGAACCCAATGGTGCAGGCAGGTAGGCAAGGACTCAGGATAGATATATCAAAATAAAGAATTTATTAACAAACAAAAGAGCTGACAGGGCAGCAAAACAAGCATAGAAGGGTCAGGGTCAGGTACTCACGATACAGACAGGTCATCACCAGTGAACAGAAGACAATGCCATGACGAGGGGTGAGAGAAGCACACAGGCTTAAATACAGGAAACACTAATTAGACAAAGTGAAGGCACCTGTGAGTAATCACAGATGCCAAAGAAAGAGACAGAGGATGCAAGACTTTAACATGACACAAGATAGAGCTAGATACTAAAGAAAAACAAACCTTATAATGATAGAAACAGAGGATCAAGACATAAACACATCACCAGGTGGGGCTAGACTGCAGGAACAAAACCACAACTCCTACAAAAATATTGTTTCCACAAATGATTAGGGTGGCTCAAGATTAAACTATGATGTTGTCAAGGCCACCACTGATCACCCCCTGGTTCCACCACTGCACCTGGTGGTGGATAAAATTGCTCTCTTTACTTGCTGTGATCTGTCACTCTGTGTCACCTTGGACAAGAAAATCAACTCCCTTTGTTCTGATAAAAAGTTTAACTCCTACAAAATTGAATATCTTGCACCAAAAACATTAATGTTCCTGGTTCAATCCAGTCCAGAAAAACAGTCATGTTAAAAAAACTACAAACATTCACTACTAAATCCTTCAGTGACAGGGGACAAACCGCTTGTGTTCAGAGAGAGTTCAGATAATCTGGAACTAAAATCCTAAAAGTATCTGACATCGTTTAACCTCAAAAACAAACCAAAAAAGTTAAAAGACTTTTCCTTTTGTGTAGGGGTGGGGGGTTTATGCATCTCGGGGGGCTGCAGTGCAATGAAACAAAATCCTGAGCTTAGACACTCGGTATGTTGCTGTACACCGTGGGGGTCCAGTCCTGGTCTTTGAAGCCACTACCCTGCACGTTTTAGATGGTTTTCTGCTCCAACGCACCTGATTTCAATCAACTGGTGATTAAGCTCCTGTAGAAGATAATGAGGTAAATCAACCATTGAATCAGATGTGATGGAGCAGGGAAACCAGTAAAACAAGCACAATAGTGGCTCTTGAGGACCAGGACTGGACACTGCTGGCGTAGGGTGAAACCTTTTGTTCAATAAATGTTTATGTCGGATCATGATGCTTTAAAAATCATAACCACCTTGTTTCTGTCCTGCATTCATTATATACATGTAGTTTTAAAGCACTGACAGTTCGGCTCTGGTGTCACTGGTTTTAGTGGACGGCAGCTGGTCATGCTGGTCTTCGTGGTCCAAGTGCTCTGTGACGTGTGGAGGGGGGCACTACATGAGGACGCGGACCTGCAACAACCCTCTACCAGCTTACGGAGGAGACATCTGCCTGGGTCTTCACACCGAGGAGGCTCTGTGCAACACACAGACCTGTCCAGGTACAAAACCAGCTGCTCAGGCCTCACTGGCGCTAGTCCATCATACGATCAGTGGTGGTGGTGGTGGTGGTGGTGGGGGGGGGGTTCATGCATCGCTAAGATACACAAAGTCACAGTGCAGACTCAAACAGATGCTCGCTCAGTCGGCTGTGACATGTGCTGTCCGTGCTGTTTGCAGAGAGCTGGTCCAACTGGTCCGAGTGGTCCCACTGTGACTCCAGTGGCCACCAGCTGCGTGTGCGTCACTGCGACGTCCTGTTCCCCACTGGAAACCAGTGCTCAGGAAACAGCAGTGAGACGCGGCCCTGCTCTCTGGACTCCAACTTCATACCAGGTGAGCCCACACGAGCCCTCATGGACACGTTGGACCGTCCACAAACACGTTCTTTGTTTTTACACCAAAATAAACAAGAACAAGTTTTTAATTCTTATTTTTATTATTTCGTTCCTGCTCTCTGGTTTCATGGCGTTCATATTTTATTGTTGAATGAGTGCGTGTGCTTCTAGGCATTAGTAAAAAATACAATTACATTGCAAGATTTTAAAATTAAGTTCTTATAAAGAGCACCAGTTCACAGCAGGAACCAAACATCAAATATGAAACTTTTATTAGTGATTCTAATGAAAACGACTCGTAAAGTAACTGGAACTGGATTCACATGAACTCTAACAGGAAGCTTCAATAAACCTTGTGAGGACAAACTGACGGATAATGTAGATGCAGGGTCTGACAATGAGCCAGCCGTCATCTTTACCTGCTTCCTCCTTTTTGGGTCGTGGGGTCACTGGTGCCCATGTCCATCACTGTGAGAGAAGTGGGGGACACCCTGGACATGTCTACAGTCCATCACAGGGACACATGGAGACAAACGAGACAAACATGCATATTTTTGGTCTGTGGGAGAAAACCCACGCATGCACGGAGGGAACATGCGAACTCCACCCAGAAAGGCTCCCGGCCTGGATTTGAACCAAGGTAACCTGCTCGCTGAGAGGCGACAGTTCTACCAACTGCACCACCGTGCAGCCAGCCATAAAACCAAGAAACACATCAACTAAAGGAACGAATCACAGAATCTAAAACTTTGATTTGTAATCCTGACCAGGTCACTGGCAGCAAAACACCTTCAGCAAAATAAAACAGGAAATAAAAGAGCAAAAATGTCTTACAGCATTAGGCCAGGCTGGTTCTAGCAGATCCTGATCACCACTTCATGGTGAGTTCAGGTGTCTTCCGTCTGGACGCAGGTGTCTGCAGCCCAGACGTAGAACGAACAGACTGAACAACTCATCCGTCCCTGCAGAAATCAGACTTCTCAACGAACAACGATGATTTCTGCCGTTTTAACGTCTTCATGTCTTGTCTGGATGTTTCGTGTGTCAGCTGCTGTGAAATTAATTGCCCCTCCGGGATAATAAAGATTCTTGAACTTGAACATAAACACAGTCTAAGACAATTTTCAAGCTGCCAGAATAAATTCACCCAAAATAAAGAGAAGTTTAAAAGAGTGGAAAAAGTAACCACTGTCTTTTCACTCTTCTCACATTTTAGCATCAATACTGATCCATGAAATTACAATAAAGTAAAAGAGGTTTAGTTTTGTGGCCAAGATCTGTGCTGAGTCGCACTTAGACAGAATATTGGCAGGCAAAGGTGCATTAAAAAAACCTTTCTAATGTATTCAGTGTTATTAAGGCTTTTAATGATTTAGCTTTCAGTTTCTTTTTCCTTCAATTTACATTTACGTCACCAAAATAATCCATTTACTGAGTCCAGTCAAACAAATCAGATATGTGGCGGCCATGACTGGATTCAGTCCTGGGCTGTAACTGTTAAAGCCCAGAAAAATCTAAAATGTTCCGCAATGTGTCCTAGTATTTGTTGAAATATATAAATAAAAACAGAGACATACTAAAGTAACTGTCCTCATAAATATATATTAAAAGTTTATGAAGAAACAAAACAGTGTATTTTAGCTGTTATATTGTCAGTTTCCTCCCTTTTTTTGACAGATTTTGTGTCTGTTCACCCAAATTCCTGTTTTCCTCATGACTTTACTGCCAGCTCTAAATTGTACTTCAGGGAATTGTATTTTTAAAAAAAGGCATATTCAGTTTTCTTTTCCAAACCCCTTCCTGTAAGTTTGTGCTACGTGGGTAATCATGAGCGAACATTTCCTGCCTCTCGTGTCGAGGTGTTCACGGTGACACCTTTAGAAAATGTGCATCTCCATTTAGGAACCGCTGAGCCCCCCCACTGCAAACCTGCTGTCTGCTGCACATCTCCTTTATGAGTTTCAGTTTCTGCAGGAACATTTTACAGTAATGCTTTTTCATTTTGATGTTTGAGTAAATGCAGAGAGTTATAACTGGTCATGACTTCCTGTCCTGCACTCAATAACAACATGCAATTACTCAAATCTGCTCATTGTGTAGCTGAAAGCAGAAAATGTTCCTATATCCGACGTTTTGTCACATCATTGGTATTGACGTCTGCACAGGCGTCTTCTTATTGACAGTTAGTAACAAGAGACAGAAAAGAATTGATCTCAGCGTCTCCGCTAAACAAAGATCATTAAATCACCTCCTTTTGACAAAAGACATTTGTGTTTCATATTCTATGCCAAAAAAACAACACAAATAATTTAGAAAAAGTGCATGTTTTTACTAAATTATTGAAAATGATCAGGTACAAAATTCAGACGAGGTAATTATTAATGTGGCAGAAAAAACATTTGATATTCAGTCAACCTTTATTTAGACAGGTAAATCCCATTGAGCCTCGAGGACTCATTTACAAGAGAGACCTGATTTAACAAAGAAAGATGACAACAATGGACAACAGCAACAATAAACAGTTATAAAAAAGCATACTGCAGTTGTTGTTTTTTTGTTTTTTTATAACAAATAGGATGGCTAAAAGGAAAAGGTAACAAAAAAACAGCTAGATTCTAAGGTGAATGTAGAAAACTGAAAACAGGAACATGTCTGCATTGGTCCCTGCAGGAGTCCAACAGATTCTTAAAGTCACTTAGAGAGGTCAAAGGTCGAGAGCTTCAAATCTTTTTACAAGATATTCCAGGAAACAGGAGCGGAGTAGGAGAAGG